AGTCGAACTGTAACAGCATACAATAAATCCCCCCAAGAACGAGACAAGGCTCCGTTTTGAGGGTCAAGCAGGAACAGACAGAGCTGTGGGTTTATTGTGCTTATGTACACATTCTTACACATTAGTACCACCCACAGGGTTTTGGAAAACAACCAATAAACACATACAATACACTCAGACACTCCCACACAAAATCCTCCCCTCTGCCTGTGATACAATTACCTTACACAATGGGTTAATGTAATTATCACCAGCAGAGAAATACAGTTTTTCAACATTATTCATAACTTGGAAAGTATGCATCACATTCACAGAATTTTCAGAATCAGCATACTCCAAATACAAACATACGTCAAAATCATACAAATTGGTCCAGTGGTTCAAAAGATAGATCGTAGTCCTTTGTGACCACAGGAAGCATGGCTTTTCTGCCCAAAACCAGTTCCACAGAGTCTTCTATCCTGGAGATAATTAGAAGTAATCCAATTATCTCCAAGGACAGAGGAAAAACTCCATTGAACACATGGCAGTAAAAAGACAGTAAAATACAATAAAATACACAAGGTTACATTTTTGACATAAAATACAGACATGCAACATAAGCCCAGATAGCTTAGGTCTGAGCGCACATTAATACTGAATGGCGCTCAGACCACACACACATACAGTTCAATTGCCATGGAGCCAAAGTTTTTTATTACACGAATAGGCTCCATGGCATAGCTATCTGGGTTAAATGATTTCATTCAGTAAATCCGAGAATCTACCGAACGCCAGGGCAGAAAACATGAATAGACCTTTCTGCATAGGAAAATAAAATATTTAAATGCCGGTCCATAGTCAAAAGGCAGCAGGCAGGCAACCAGGCTCCTACAATGCACAGTGGCGAGAATGGTCTTGTCACAGTGCTGCATGGAGTGAGTGCAGACAGTCTGAATGTGTGCTTACTGGCCAGGCTGCATGGAGTGAGTGAGTGCAGACAGCCTGAGTATAACCCAGTGATTGCTGTGTACGCGCCCTATAACCCGGTGATTGCTGTGTACGCGCCCTATAACCCGGTGATTGCCGTGAACCGAATGATCTACCCCCTAATAGCCCACACATAGAGGGACAATGTTGCAATTGGTAATTAGAGACTTTCCTAGGTGGCCGTCGTTCGGCTACCGACCACACGGCGGTCGGCCATCTTGGATCCTTTGTCTCACCAGCGGTGTTTGGTCGTCGAGCGCGTGGAACTGAAAATGGATACTCGACGGCGCGAACACCGCTGGACTTCCAGGCCGTTCGGGAGCTCCGGTCTTTCGTTATTGTGGTTCCCCATCGGTGTTCGGTACTTTTAGGCAAACTTGATGGCAGTGTATTTCGTGCGGCGTTCGGTTATTTTAGCTGGGATCTGAGCGGTATTCCCACGAAATGTGCGCTCAGACCCCAGCTATCTACCGAACGTCCATTCATTTAAATAAACCGAATAGTGTAAAAGTTATGTATTTAAATGTGAAATGCCGGTTCTGCTGCACGGAGGGATAATCCACTTAACGGTGTATTCCAGTGGGAGTATCCCTCTCGTCCAGCAGTGCCTGATGGGAGAAATGCCCAGAATGTTAAGTCCCCCATGTAGTCCCCTACTGTGTTACCCCTTGCATGGGGACTTGCATAAATACTGGATGCTGTGAATAAAAACCTCAGTTGACTCCCAGAACGGTGTCTCGTACGGTTACTGGGGGATTTGGGATATTGCCTTACTTTTCAGTGCTTGACTGTGGATTACCTTCTTTACCAGCGGAGATCGTGGAATTTAATATTGCCGCTCCGCTACATGACCTATAACCCATTGATTGACGCGCACGCGCCCAATAACCCATTGATTGACGGGCACGCGCCCAATAACCCATTGATTGACGGGCACGCACCCTATAATCCATTGATTGACACGCACGCGCCCTATAACCCAGTGATTGTTGTGTACACGCCCTATAACCCAGTGATTGCTGTGCCCGCGCCGTATGGCCCAATGATTGCTGTACACGTGCCCTATAAACATAAATACATGCAGAATGTTTAAGTGTCCATTTAATCTCCCCTTATAGGATAAATAATATGATTTTGTTTTAGAAACGCAACAGTCAGTGCAAAGCGAGACACACAAAAGGCGTTTTTAGTGGATACTTCTTTTTCTTACTAATTCTGTTTTGGCAAACAAATTCGTGGAAGCATGGAACATTTGAACTTGTTAGGTTTGGGCTTTCAGTTGACACGAAGCGTCAGTAATAATTTCTTTATCTATTTCTGGTCAGACCCTGTGTCACGTCCAGTCCGTATAGTCCTTATATACAACATGTTCCCAATGTTTCACTACCGGCTTTTCATCTCTCTTTCAGATTGCGACTACGGAGCAGGAATTTATTTCAAGAAAAACCTTGCAGACATAACGAAAGGAAAACCCAAACCCCGAGAAGCCGACTGTCTGGTTTATATTTTCCAGGCAGAAGTCGTGACGGGCAGATTTACCATGGGTAACCGGTCTTACATCCTGCCTCCACCTGTGGGTTCAGATGATCTCGAATTGTACGACAGCGTGGTGAATTCAGTACCCAATCCTGAAACCTTCGTCATTTTCGACAGTCACTGTGCCCTGCCACAGTATCGGTTTACCTGTAAATGGAAAAACCCTGAGGGTTCATAACCTCTCGGACCATCCTCGCTGGAGAGCCCAAATTAAATGACGCTTTACAAGGTTGGAGAAAATTAAAGAAAAAAAAAAAAAAAAAAGTAACCACAAAACATGCAAACTGACCCACGGCTGTGTTCTCTATGCAAAGTGTAGCCGCTTCTCATAACCGTTGTCTCATGGCTACTTATCTGGTGAATAGCCCTTGTCAGGTAACGTGATGGATATATAGGTATCTGATTGTTCCTCTGTTTTGGACAGACAGCGGCAGTGTGCCTTTTTAGGATATATCTTATTAAATTGAATCATTCATTTGTGGACTTCGAGATAGCAGCGTGGGGAATTTGGGTATCAGTCTCCCATCATGGCGGACTAAGCAGCATCATAGTATTGGGGCAAGGTGGAGGAATTAGGAAACAGTTTTCATTCAGCGTAGAATTTTCTCCAGCACACACTGACCTTACAGACAGCACTGCAAGAGTTAGCCAATATACCTAGTTTGCATGGCCTAGACTGACAAAGTATCTAATTAAAATAGAAAAGGTAAAAAAAAGGTTTAGCGCAAGCAATAGCGAACGTTCATTATAGCAATGTTTACTTATAGAAACCTTGAGTTGGCTGTTAGGCTCTGCTCAAATCTAACCGGTGACATTTCCAGGTTTTTACCAGTTTAAAATGCTCTAGTAAAAATCTCTTTCCAAAATAAGACATTTGCATTTTAGCCTCCGGTGTAAAGGAACACCTAACTAGTAAGGCTCACAGTGCTTTCGTTTTCGTTTTTGTAGATGTTAAGATAAAATATATGCAGTTTCTCGATTCTTACATTAAATACATTGACAGGGTTACTCACTAAGGTCAGAATCCAAGTGAACTCAGTTATTTGAAGTCAGAAATCAGATTGCAAAGTTTAGACTAAAACATCCGAGCTGTGGCTGTAGCTGAATCATTGCAATTCACTAGAGTTCACTGCTTAGTAAATAAACCCTGAGACAAGTATAGACATTTGGGGACTCATTAGCCCCATGTGTAGTGAGCTGGAGGGAGTGATTAGCCCGGAGTGTATTTCTTGGAGTGGTCAGTGAAATTCTAGCTATTCACAGAGAGACGCGGAACACGTGAGCCGCGCCATGTCCCAGCGTTACAACGTTTATGGGAGTTTAGAGAAGTTAGGATATCAGTCACGACTCTCCATGGGGGACATTTTATCACTGGTGCCGTCATTCTATAAGGCACACCATGTACACTACTGGAAAGCTGACACCAGTTGGCGAAATTGCACGATCTGGTTGCTGCT